AAACTGGAGAGCGCAGTTGATATGCAAAAGTATAAGAAATACTTATACAGGGTGGTTCGTGCAACTTATGCATTTCTGTAACTTTCAAAGTAGAACAAATTTTAAATGGAAAGATTGCATAGTTCGAATATACTATACAGTGCATTTGTTTTTTTTTTATGAATGAAAACGTTTTGGGGATTGGAAGGTCAATTTTGTTTCTTTAAATGGAGTAGTATAGTTTTCATATGAAGGTATGGAAGAATATCAAATTCTGAGTGAAAAAGTGTCGCTAATAGTTAACGAGTAATTTCATTTTATTTTCTCACAATTTTCCCTGTTCTACAGAAATGTGTATGCATTTAGGGGAAACTTAAATCTTCAAGAAATACATAAGATACGAATTACTATATTTAGGAGTTGAGACAACCCTTTACAAAGCTTCCATTATATTAATTCTATTAATAAAAATTTGCATAAAGATCCGCAGTCTAATAACGACCATCGTCTCACGGGAAAAATTACGAAAAAAACTGAGACTCCGCGAGATACGAGACTATAGTTCAAATTTTATTAATTCGAAATTTTTACGGTACTTTTTCCCATCTCTGGTCCGCAGTGGCGCGGTTAAGTGTTTTTCAAGCGTACTCGAGCTGTGAACTGGCTCTTTATCCGTGCCCGTACCGCGGGAAACGATCGAATTAGGCAAGATTCGAATCCAACCAACGCGAAACCATTTCCACGTTGCGTCGTGGCCGCTCCACGGTGGTCTTCTCGCCCGTGAAAACAACCGCGTCACTTTTTTCCCCGTCCGGGTCGCAACAGTTTCGCGTGTTTCTCGCGTGGCGATAGCGAATTAAAGCGCATCTTACGCTTCGGAGGGAACGAACGCTTAATACTTGTGAGAACACGGAGAGGAGGCTGAAATAAAAGCTTCCCTCGCCGCGAGCTGACCAAGTCGCGCCAAGAATGCGCCCGAGGGCACGACAGAACGCAGTAAAACTACGAGCAATTAAGGTGACTAGAATTCTCCAAGATCGAGAATCTCATATTCAGAGTTTGAAAATCCCGCGTTCGAGTGAACGTTTGCTCCGTCCATTCCGCCAATGGGCGGGTGGACTCGCTAAAGCTAGGGGAGGAGCCAGCGGGCCAATCAGAGCCGCTGGTCAACTTCTCGCGAGCGCACAGTAGTTGAAGCTACAACTTTGGAAGCGAAATCTACCGAAGAAACGTCTCTAAGCGACGTTAGACGGTCGCGTGAGCCCTCTAAGCGTCTCCCTGTCCTTTCAGCCTTTGGGAAAAATTCTGTCCCGAGTCGAGCTTCTCGGAATCTACATACTGCCAACGCAGGGATAGATCCTTTCGTGCTTTATAAGGGCTCGGTGCTGTCCTGCCGTTGACTGACGGCACAATCCTCGATCCTTGCGCGATACCGAGGAGTGCCGCAGATCTTTGTACGAACGGGACGACGTAACTGGCAGAGGGAAACGAAAGAACGGAAGGAACGGATGGACGTACGGTAGCTAGGGTCCTTAATTATGCGGTTTTACGCTATGCGCCAACAACGGGGAGGAAAGGGACGGACACGGGGAGGTTAAGAGCGAATGCAAATGCCCGCGTGGCGTATAGGCCAGGTCGGTGTACGCGACGGAGAGACAGAGATCTTGCCCTTTCAGTTACCCAGATGCCGCGAGATACGCGCCTATCTCGTCGTCTTTCCTCAATGTCCTGCCCCGGGCTCCCGCTTGACGAAGAAAACGCAACGATCCGGGGACTACACGAGAAAAGTATCGATGTCCATCCGAGATCGTGCGTAACTCGAGTACCCTTCGATCGCCAACCTAGCTTTCACAGGTTTTGAGTTTGCATTAACACGTTAAAACGCTAATAAAAAGAGAATAGAATTATTTTTCTGTTTGCAAACGATCGACTTCGAGGGTCGATAGCTCCTGGAAAAACTTAATGGCGGATTAAGTCGGTTTTATCGTCATCCGAATTGCGAATTATCCAAATGTAAATGAACAAAGCTATCGCTGGACCGAATTATCGTATCATTTTTCCACGAGTGAAATCCCGGGGAGTTAGCTCGGTGCGAACGATCGTCAAATTGTGACCTTTCTTGGAGAACGTGTTGCCTCTAAGTGAACGGCAAGAGAGACGCTCGGCAGACTTTAGTATCATCGTGCACGCGTTTCTCGAGTTACGCTCATGTGTATGCACGTGTGCACGGAAGGCTCGTGTGGCCCCTGAATCGATGAAAGGGAACGAGGAACCGGTTGCAGGTCGATCGCACGTCGGATTCTAAGTCGCGGCGGTTTCGAGTGTCTCTAGAGGCTACATAGAGAAAGACTGAATTCCAGCTCGGGTAATATTGGTCCAACGGTCGAAAGTCAAAGGAAACTTCGATAAATGGCTTTGCAAATTGTGTAATAAAACATCGGCACATCATTAAATGGAAATAATCATATTGCACATAGACTTTGTGCGTTGAAATTTTATTCGAATAATAGATATTTAGAAAAACATAGAACACTTTAAGAATTCAAATAAGAATTTTGACTATCTCTGAATACGAAAAAATATTTCGTGCATGTATAGTACTAACCAAAAGCAATTATGATTCTATCAAAATTTCTGTCCTCCAATTATACAAACCCACTCTATTTTTTTCTGTTTTGACAATTAATGCTAACACTAGAACTACCTACTAAGAAATTAAATAGGTGCGTGAAGAAATGTATAATGCAACGAAAATAAGTGTTTATTCATTCCCTCATAGAAAATTTAAATTTTCAAAAATTCATGTAATGTATATTTTTTACAAGTTTGATTAGAAATTAAGAATGTTTGACTGCTTTAGTTTGAGTGCTGAATATATGGATTTGTAATATTTTCCTCTTTATTTATTTCGCGAGTTGTTCGTCCGAAATCTTTTAATTAGTCGTCGGATTAGATAAGTCGGGATTTAGGTGCGCGAAAATGAACGCGACGCTGGTATCGGCGCTCAGGCGACGCGTAGTTTTGTGTGAAAGCACGTTAAGTCCGGGCGAATCGTTTCCTAAGGAGAGAGAGAAGAGAAAGCCTGAGAACGTAAGAACAGCGAGCGTCTGGAGAACTGCCGCCATGCCGCATTCAGAGTATCTCGACGCAAAGTAACAGACTCGAGGCGAGGTCCTCGGACTGCTCTCGGAAGCGACTGCCAACCCGACTCGATCCAAGAACATTCCAGAATATATCCCTTTCCCTTCACCCAACACGACATTATTGTCAACGCTTCGAACATGATTTTTTTTTTTTTTATGTACCAACAACACGAATAAATTTGTTCACATTTTATTTATGTCCCTGCTTCTCCCTCTTTGAATAATATAACTACACCGTTACCGAGAGAGGAAAATCAATATTCTGTACGATTACGAATGACAGAAATTATGTTTGATAAAACGTGTTTCTATAATACAATAAAAATACATGTTCGACATTAGTCGAATAGTATTTCGTGTATTCACCATTATTCACGAAAGTTTGCTTTAGTGTTACTAGAAAGAAAGAAAAATGATCGTAACTGCTTCCCATCGTCTCCAAAAAATGAAATGTTACTAGAGAAAATAATCCTAAAGGTCTCCATCGTGTGACCCGAATTAATTTAAAGCCAGCTGGAATTTATTACGCAATAATATTAAACAACTACGGATCGAAGTTTGCATTTGTCTGCACGTCACTGCTATCTAGTTTTGCTAACTTTCTTTAGTCGACTGCTTTGTACCGACTGCACGTTCTTCCCGCCTAAGTACTCATTGGTCTCAGCCAGCGTTACGTCACAGCCAACGAAGATTTATGTGTTGTAGAAAAGTGAAAATGAAAATTCATGATCGTAAGTGCTTCGAAAGGTCACAATATACTCTACACGTCACATAGCTTTATTTTGCAAAAGGCGCACAACCTATCAACTATCCAAAATTATCTAATAAATTATATACATATACCTTATTATATAAATACGATTAATAAGAATCATTTTGAAGTTTTATCAATAAAGTAACCTGTGACTTTCGAGCAGTAAACATCCATAATCGTATTTAATCAGGTAAACAAATTATTTATAATGCTAGTTTAAAAATCTATGTTCTAAAAGTGATGTCATTCTTATTCCCCATTAGCGACAATCAAGCATTGCGTGAACAGAATAAAGGCGGAAACTAGTCGTATGTAAACAATTTCCGAGCGATAGGTGGGAACTATGGTATTATTTGTGAGCAAAGTTGAGACGAAACGGGAACGCGAAATGTTGGTTCGGATGTTTACGTGCGCACGAGGGAAGAACGGCTCGTTTCCTGGAAAGCGGGGTTGGGCACCTGTCCCTCAGGGACTGCCAACTTTAACGCACGCGCTTATCGACAATATCGAAATTGAGCACCACTGTGACAGTAACATAACCACGTGTATTCGACGAGCCTAGCACGCGAACGTTAACAGTACAACGAAAATAAAACACGAAATCACTTTCCAATCACACGACAAACAATAATTTTCTACTGGAAATAACATTTTCAATCCTCGCGCCGATAACAATATTTCCCCTGCACCCTAAACTTTGACGAACGTAACAAACGACGAAACAAAGAGGAAGAAGAAAATTGTTGGAGAATTTTTGTTCTCGAGACGTGAACGTAGGAACGCAGAGAGACTGAAATGGTCAATATTTTCGAGACAGGTAGTAATTGAAGGCGAGCACGACGATGTCCGAAATCGGTTCGGAATACCAATTGCACGGACGAAATCGTTCAATAATCTTTCGACGCGTTGACCTCGAATAGCTTACACGACATTTAACGGAGAAAATATTCAAAGGAGACGCCGAACGTCAGTTAACGTGCAGGCGTCCAACGCGCCGGCGCTCAGCGTTGTTTCGTGACCTGTTGCCTAGCAGCGACATGTGGCGAACGACTTCAAACCATTCTCGTGAGAGAGAATTCCGGGACGAGGTGGACGTCGCGGATAAAATGGATGTTTAGACTCACCGGATACAGCGGGCAGGGATACGTGTACGAGCAAAGGCAAGAGGAGAAACGCCATCGATGCGTAATCCAATTTTCGGCGTGGCAACAACATGATGCCGTGAATTTTATCCACACACATCGGGTAGACACACACTCATCGGGGCCCGGGCGCACACACTAGACAGAACCAACACTTCGGTGCACTTCAGTGTAAGATCCGCGTACCGTCACTTGACCACGCACATCGTCCGAAATCTATGTCACCTCCGATACCGTCCAGCAAAAGTGTATACACGTTCACGCGAGGTAGTACGAGAAAAAAACATGCGGCAACCGTATACGAACACGACCGCGTCCGAAACACTTCTGGTATCCCTATTGTTCGCTTAACGCGCTGAAAGTAGTTCCCCAGTGCGCGCGCACCTGCCTCCAACGGCTGTATCACTGCGCCACCATAGGATGGCTGACTATGCGGGCCAATAGGAGCTCAGCTACATAGGAAAACGACCGTGGCACGCGTTTGATATACTTTTGGCGACGAAACGTTTTGAATGGCGAATTTAAACGTTTTTTTCGACAAATCGTATACGCAAAGTCGAACAACGCTCAATTTCTTTCGATCGGGAGCGTCGATTACGTTTGAAATAAAAGTTAATGTGTGTTATGAAATTACCAACACGAGCAGTAATTTAACAGTATTATGCTAAATAAGAAAACAGTAAGAGGGGTTTATATTTATATGTAACCGCGATTGGCCCGCCATCTGTTGTGATCTGGTTCATTTTCGATTCGTCCTTTATTTTCTAACTACAGATAGCCCTCCTACAACACAGCATCCTATAACACGATTTCGCTTTAACACGATAAGAATTGGATAACATAAATCACCATAAATTACCTTAAAATAATGAACTATAGTGGCTTTACATGAAAAAATATAAACAAATTATAATTTATTAAATTAAGGTTGCGTTGAATTAAAATAATATTTTTTTTTTATTTATATATAATTAAAAAAAAATATTTGTTCTTAATAAATTTTCGGAACGTAGCTCCCCTTTTTGTACTGGCTCCGAGTCTCATATAACACGGTTTCACACAGCACAGCATTTTCTAGGAACCTATCTACCGTGTTATAGGAGGGTCACCTGTATTTCTTAACAGTAAAATAAAAACTATTATCGTCTTTTTATCATTCTATTCACTGGACATAATTCTATCGCACTTGTATTAATTTTCTCGACGCACAGAAATATCAAGTATCGAAAGAACCAGAACGCGCTCGATCGATGTAGAAATTATACCATACGCGTTCACCGGAGCGTTATCAATTCCGCAAGATCGATAACTTAGTTGCATATTAGTCATGCATCCGCAACAATTAATTACAACGAACGCTATAGATACTTTTAATTAATTCCTACTTTCCAGTATGCCGTACTGCGCGTGTGAACGGATCATCCAGCGGTGATTAGATCGCTATTAAGGTTGTTAGTTAAGTCATACACACGCGTAACACCTCGCGACCGAACGGACCACGATTTTCGAGCGTACGGAACGCCGTTTCCCTCGCTTTGTTTCGCGAATTCGAGCCGAATCTCCGTTCAACTGAAATCTAACGCCGTCGCGCGTGACGGAACGCAACGGAACGTGGTCAGTTATAAAGTGCCAAGACGCCGATGCGTATGAACATCGTCGAGCACTGGCGGGGCATGTCTGATCATTAATTAACCTTCCAGCGGTTGATTGCGTGTAACGCGAAATTCATCGCCAGTATAGCCGCCGCCAGGCGCGGCTGCTGCCTTAACGAATACAAATGCGGAATTATAATTCGGTGCCCTCTCTTCAGTCCATTCAACAGACGAAGCCTTACGAATTGCTTTCCCTTTTGTGTCCCGAGCACGCAACATACTCGCGGGGAACTGTAAACGCTCTCGACGGTCGTTAGTTTTTATTAATGAAACTGTTAACCCTATCATCGAACCGCAAACATCTGCGAGCGATGCGTTTTCAAGCAAAATATCACGATTCTACCTAAGATGGCGTTCCATTTCACCGACTACATCGTAAAGAAATAAAAAATCATGTTACATAAATGTAAGAAACATCTTACATTTATTGTTATCATTCCAGGTGGTCTTGTAAATTTTCAATCACGATTTACAGAATAGGGCGTGAATCGATATTATATTGTCGCCAGGACAACGCGGGACATTAAGTCGATAGTAACCACGTGGCACATTGAGCACTTCTGCGCCATGTCCTATCCGTTAGCGCCGAGCGTAGAGAATAAGTTGAACGATCTGAATAAGAAAATTGCAGAGATCAAGAAGAAGATCCAGCTATCAGGTAAAAAGCACTAGATTAAACGATCCCACGAAAAGTAATAAAGTTGTAATCAGTTTGCTTAATCATGGTTTAATATTCATGTATTTCCTACGTTACTGCGCGAGTTAGTCGAGGCTCGAAAAAGAAGAACACATTCCCTGGCATTTATTTCTCAAGCGTGTTCCTGATTACACGAGAAGATACATAAGAACGCGTTTAACCGGAAAGACTAGAGTTCAGAAAGAAATCGTCGTGTCACACAAGTGGCTCTTCGGAAAAAAAAAAAGAAGTGAAAAGCCTCCCGGCGGCTTATCGATACGCCTCTATCGAAACGTTAATTATAAAATGGCTATTCCAGTAAGCATTTCTATTATACATAACTGAACGAGAATCCGTAATTTATAATATCCAATGAAGAATTAATATTTCCTACTCGATAGTAATTCCTGTCGCTCTTTAATCGCGCAACTTTTATTCCAATGCGATCAAACATGCTGGTACATTTCCTCCATTAGTACTTGGCTTATCAATTATACTTGCTAATGCGGTGGCTTTATCGCTGAAAAATTGATTCAACCGGTTCGTGATAATTGAATTGGACAATTTACAATATCGTGAAGTCGGAAAGTAGAGATTTAATCGAAGGACAGATTATTCCCGTGCTCATCAGAATCGCCTAAAATGACAACCAAATAACCTGGCATTAGCGAATTTTCTTGAACAAACTATTCGCTTTCGAGGTAAATCGTGACTTCAATTTAAGTAATTCGAGTGATTTAGGTTTATCAGGACGTACATGCAAAACACTATGATCATGACTACGCGGTTCGATCCATTGCAACCACGAGCTTAGTCACGACTCGTGTTTGTTTTACCCTTTGGCTATTATTGTGCAATTAATTTTTTACTCGTCTTATAGCTTAATTATCGCTCCGTTATTTGCGCGTACAGTTAAGAAAATGAAAAGGTGATTAAAACCGGATTCACCTCGGAATTCGTTCCATGAGAAAACGTAGCGGAACGTAATCTATGATGGTACATTATTTTGCACTTTTAAGCCTCGGGCTACGGACTTTCTTCTTTCTATTTCTACGATGATGTTTTTCACGACTTTTTCGCGCGTTCCATAAACATAGTTGTACCTCGACGAAAAACAACATTCCGTATAAAGTGAATACGAGCATTTATTAATAATTAAATATCTATCTAATACATATACTGTGTACAGAGGGACAAAGGAAAGCGAATTTCGAAGAGTACGAAGCCAAAAGACATGAACAAGCGGAGAAAATCGCAATTCTCAAGCAGACTGTCAAGGAGCTGTACACGGAGTACGCGAAAACGAAAAACGTAATTGCGAAAATAATCGAACGAACGTACGAAAAATTCGCCCCGCGAGAGAAATTAATATTTCGCGCGATACGTTTCAGAACGAGGGAAAACCGGAGAAGAGAATTCACATGAGTCGGGAGTCCTCGGCTTCTGGGAAAAGACGTAATTTAAGCGAGACAATTGCTAAAGTGCAAGAAGACAATGTACGCTTAAGAAAGAAGCACGATCTAATTAAGTATCAGCGCGAGAAGGTAAGCAACGAGATGCCAATCTGTTGAACAATATTCCGCGCGAACTGTCTTCGAGCATAAATGTGTTCCTTAGCGACAACAGAAATTAAGATCGCTGCTGGAGGAATACGGCCAATTAGCGAATGGTAAAGAGCAGAAAGTGTTCAAGAAGAAGATGGAAACCCCAGTGAGACATGTGAGTTGGAAAAATTAGAGAAGTATCACCGAGAGAAGACTCTTACCAATTACGTTTGGAATTTTTATAGAAAATCGTGAAGCTCGAGGTACGCCTGGAACACATTAGAATGATGCAAATAAAGGCAAATTTAACGCGAATGAAATACAGATCCACGCGTTCCGAATTGAAAGAGAAGTCCGTGATGTACGCGTCTTCATTGAAAAGCCTGGAGGATGAGATAAGGGAGCAAGAGCAAGAAGTGAAACGTCTACAGGCAAGGCACGAAGTTTACTTTACGTTTTGATGCATTTGTAGGGATAAACAATCGACGTGAGTGTATTAATTTTCGCAGACCGCGAGGGAAGAAGCTATTCAGTTGAGAGATAACTCGCAAGAGACGTTGATTAAAGAAGAAATCGAAGTTACGAACTGCAGCAAAGAACGAAACGCCGTGCTCGAGGACTACAGGTTCGAACAAACGCAAACTATTGTCTTCTGTTTGCTAGCTGGGATAATACGTTTCATTTATTTGCATTCCAGCTGCTGATAATACAATTGGAGTTAGTATACAGGATGTTCGGCCAACCCTGGGAACAATTTTAATGGGAGATTCTAGAGGCCAAAATAGGACGAAACTCAAGAATACCAATTTGTTGATGGAGGCTTTGTTAAAAAGTTATTAACGTTTAAAGTTCCGTCCATACTGAATTTTTTTCTCAAAAATGGGTAGGATTTCGGGGATGTGCCTGTTCACCAAAAATGATTGTAATTGACCCTCACAACCGAAAATAATTTTTTCAGAATGATTGGAAAGTTTTTTTTTTGTTGAAAAATTACACATCTTCTCGAATTTTTTTCTAGAAAATGGGTAGGATTTCGGGGATGTGCCTGTTCACCAAAAATGATTGTAATTGACCCTCACAACCGAAAATAATTTTTTCAGAATGATTGGAAAGTTTTTTTTTTGTTGAAAAATTACACATCTTCTCGAATTTTTTTCTAGAAAATGGGTAGGATTTCGGGGGTATGTCTATTCACCAAAAATGATTGTAATTGACCCTCACAACCGAAAATAATTTTTTCAGAATGATTGGAAAGTTTTTTTTTTGTTGAAAAATTACACATCTTCTCGAATTTTTTTCTAAAAAGTGGGTACGATTTCGGGGGTATGTCTATTCATAAAAAATAATTATAATTGAGCCCCACAACTGAAAATAATTTTTTCAGAACGATTTGGAACTTTTCAATTTCGCCGAAAAATTTAGGCACCTACCCTTATCGATTTTTCTTAAAAACTCGTTTTTCATTTTTAATAATTTTGTTTGACATCCTACAGAAAAGTTGTCTAATACCTTTTTGTAAGCACCCATGGGCTCTACTTCAGAAAGAAGTTTCATTAAAATATATTCACTATTGTAGGAATTATGGCTGTTTGAAAATGGGACCGTTTTTATGGAATTTTTCTAACTTTACGGGGTTAAGGAACAACTTCTCGAATATTTTTAGAATTTCTATATATTTTACACTAAAATACGCGTCGTTTGCCTTTTTAAACATTAAAATTGACCAATTCGTTCAGAAGTTATGACATTTTAAAGATACGCATATAATTTCAGGGAAGCAAACTGGACTCACATTAGATTTTCAGTAAGGAATTTTTTTCTCGAAAATGCGTAGGATTTCGGGGGTATGTGTAATAACCAAAAATGATTATAATCGACCCCTGCAACCGAAAATAATTTTTTTAGAACGATTTGAAAATTTTTAATTTAATTTTTTAATAACATTTTAACGAAGCCTCAGTCAAGAAATTGATATTCTCGATTTTCGTCTTATTTTGGCCTCTAGAATCTCCCATTAAAATTTTTAGCAGGGATAGCCTAACACCCTGTAAATTTTCACCTTTTCGATATTTTATTTGAAAAATGATAATTAAATTTATTCTTATGATTTTTTTATGGATTGTTTTATATAGTATAGATTTGCTGTGTCCTCTTTCTTGTCACCGTTTGAATTTCCGTCCTTCGTCCTTTCCTGTTGCTTCTTTCGAGCACGCTGGCTGAAAATAAAATTCCGTTATGGCCAGACAACGCGTGCTGGAACGAAAAATGGAACTCGAGCGATTGGAAAAGATGATATTCCACTCGCGTCCGCGAGATGATTTCGACACACGTGGGAAAAGCCGTGTGCAGACCACAGAGGACATTACCAAGGACGAGGTGACACGACTCGAGGAGGCGTTCGCCAAGCTTCGCAGCGCCACCGGAGTGTCTAGGTCCGAGGACGTTCTGAACCGGTTTCTGGGTCAGCGGGCGACCAAGAATAATCTGCAGAAAATGCGGGTGGCCACGGAGCAGGAGAAAATGACCTTAGAAAAGCAGAGGCAGGAATATATCGCCGAGATGGAGACCAGAAAGTTCTCTGAAACGAAGAACGCGGAACAGTGAGTCCTGCCGAGGATACTCACGGCTCGCAATTTCTCATCACGATATAATGTGTTTCAGAAACGCGGAAGAAGTGGAACGACTCAACTGCCAAATCGACGAGCAACGTTCGCGCCAAACGAAAGTAGAAAAAGAACGTCAAAGGGTCGAGGATCTTCTGGAACTCATAACTACGACATTGTGGAACTTGTGCAATAAATTTCGGGTGAGCCACTAGAAATAACAAGAATTATTCAATAACATGGCGATATGGCCCACATACGGGCCATAGACAGTGAACCAGAACTACCCCCAATTATGCTGTATTTACTTATACCAACAAAATTAAAACTATAGGTTCTTGCAATGGAAATAAATGTTCATTGAAAACCACGGTAGCAAAAATTCAGTCGAGTATATTTTTAAAAATTTTTACTAGAAATTACCAATCATTTTGACCACTTCTGGTAGTTCTGGTGTTAACACGACCAAAGAAATCTACATTGAACGAGAATAAACGTCGACTTACGGAACAAAATTAAATAATTGAAAAAGGTTTTCAAGTTGACGTACGTTCGTTTGGGATAAAGATATCGCGTTGAATTAACACTTGGCGAGGCAGAACGTCTAAAAAATGAAATCCCATCGGAACACAGGTTGTACAGTGTTAAAATGGCCGATGGAAATACCATGTAAAATCCTAATTAAATTAGTGAAGCCGCGGCGTGTCGGTGATGCTTACAGTAATGGAACCGCCGCGAGTTTTCGTACCTTCTATATTGTCTCTGGCGGTTTAACACCCCTGGCGTGCATCCTATTCGTCGGTCATCCGCCAATGAATTTTCTTCGACGATCTCCGACTGTAATTCTCACCTGAGGAAGCCGCTGTCCCGCGCATTAACACCTTCGAACCTGATCGAAAGTAAACACTTCGGTAGCACGTCGGGGCCGCGAGAATATCAATTATTGATTCTATCGATCCCTAGAATTCGTGACCGTAACCCAAACTCGTTAACTCGCTTTCCAATTCTCTATTTCCTCTTTCACTTCGCTGCTAGGTGTGTACAAATAAGAGGAACAAAGAAGAGTTCCATTGCACGAAATCGTAAAAAGGAGAACCACCACCGTCGAAATGCTATTCTTCGAAAATGAATGAAACTTCAATTTTTTTTTCTTTCTTAGCTTCGGTAATAAAAAAAAAGGACCTACGAATTTCCAGGGGCCTATGGTATTCACAGAGAAGAATTATGATTGATCAATGGGGGTTGTAAAATCAATTTACTCGATGTAAACTCTAGTTTTTTATTCGTGAGCATTTCACTGGATTTGCCAGAAATGAGATTTCAAATTTGTATAATAACTATGAATTCTCTTGATTTCATCAGTGAAACTTTGACGACGACAGTAGTGAAACTTTTCAATTTTTTAAACTGCATCAACTGTATTCACGAAGTGACAAATTTGGAATCCATAGTAACTAATAATATTTTCTTAAAACTTATGGAAACGGTATTAAATCAATTTTCCAGGATATACTTGACACGCTGCCCGAAGATCAGAATGAAATCCAGAATCCTTTAGATCTCATAGAGTTAGTGGACGAGAAAGTAAACGTCGCGATTGAAATTCTAGGCGGGCCGGATAAATATCTAGAAACATTGAACGAAGCAACAACTGATAAGGTAAATTTCGAAATGTCAAAATTTCAGTAGAATTAATAGACTTCAAACTAGGGTAGATTAGAATTTCAATTCTTTGCCTAACCAACATCCCATGGACGCACAGTTCGATTACAAGATGGCAACTTAGAGGCCGACAAAATGGCTGTACCTTTGAAACATAATCGAATATCTTCATTCTCATTTTTACTGTTCTCTTCAACCTGTCCCTGATAGCATGCTCATATTTTACAATACACCTTTGTTAGTCCTATCTATTGTTACAAAATTATCACTAATCTTTAAAAATGATTAGCTAAATAATTAGCGAAGATCCTTGAAATATCTAAAAATACATCTAAATTTATATGTTATTTAGCTGGAGACAGCATCGACTGCAACTACCTCGGGGGAAGGAAAAGCAACACGTACAAACGGTGGACAACTTTTTCCGCGATTCCCATTATCAGCTACGCCAGTGACGGTACCGTCCGAAGACGAAGAGGATGTGCCAACTAGAAATGTTCTCAAGAAACAGGCGCAGCAGATGTTTGACATTAAAAGTCGTCGAAAAGGATTTACCTTCAGAAGATGAAGTTTCAAATTATACGCAAACAATTTCATGTAGAATGTTATAAGCATTATAAATATTGCATGCAATGTTTCTCATTTACAATATACTAGTCTACAAGGTATAGAGAGTAAATCAAGTAGAGTATCTATATTCCCCTATACACTTCCTATTATGTTCTATAGTGGAACGTAAGTGCATGCAACATTAGTCACCTATACGACGACCATTTTTTTAAATTTCATGACACACGTACTTACTGCATTCTCGTGACACCTATAGTTTTCATGGTGAATGAATCCTTTACCGACTGCAATGTCGTGCCACCTGTCGTTCTTTTTACGAACTTAGACATGCACTGACTAGTGGCGGGATGTCACGAGATACGAACCGAACCAAAATCACAGACGAAGTATACGAATAGAGCTTTCAACCAATGTATTTTTTCGGCCCACTTTTCTGTGTATGTTTTTGCTCTAGAGCCCCATTACCGTTTTCGTGTCACTCGCAACGTTACCAACAGATTTAGAAATAAAGTGGAAGTGAGACAGAAAATGAAACTGCAGAAATTTTAGTATTTTTTAACGAAACAAAAGCTGTACGGTACAGAATTGAGCATCAATCGATTAATTTCATTGGAGTAACCAATCGATTAAGATTATTTAAAGATTTCAAAATTATTAAAATACGTAAGGATCTCATTGATAAGTACACCGCAAATCCTCTATTTTTTATTTTAAATTTTAATACATCATTTATTTAAAAACTAACTCGGCAAAAACGTATTTGCGACTCGAAATCGGTGTTATCAGACCGCATACCGGGGCGAAGAACATATGTGAAACTAAACGAGGAAGATCGCAGCCATTAGCTCATATTATTTGCTATGTAATTAATAGACTGCGGATCTTTATGCAAATTCACATTTTTATTAATAGAATTAATGAAACGGAAGCTTCGCAGAGGGCTGTCTCAACCCCTAAATATAATAATTCGTATCTTACTTTAAGTATTTCTTATATTGTTGCATATTAAATGCATTCTGTAGTTTTTTGAGGATTAAAATTTCCCATAAATGCATAAACATCCGCAGTCTAGTAATTAATGATTACATTAATTACATAGTAAATAATATGACCCGGGTCTCACCGCGAGGAGGTTGCTGCGAATGGAGACCCACCCTAGCCTCGCCCCAACCACCCTTCCTTTGGCGAGGAACTCGAATACCTATCCAAGAGAGAAGCTATCGAAAAGTTAGAAACGAACTACAAAGGTCCAATTCTTAAAAGAACTACCCAATGAAGAGATGAAGAACCTAACTAAATGTCAATACATGTGAGATGATACACATGTTTTCTAGAAACGAAATTGAAATGTGCAACTGCACGTACGAACTCTGATGAAAAGATGAAAAACCTAACAAAATGTTGATACATGTGAGATAGTCCATCACATGTTTTTTAGAAACGAAATTGAAATGTGCAACTGCACGTACGAACTCTGATGAAGAGATCAAAAACCTAACGAAATGTTGATACATGTGAGATAGTCCATCACATGTTTTTTAGAAACAAAATTGGAATGTGCAACTGCACGTACGAATCCTGATTATTAAAGTACCAATATGTACTTTATTATTAATTGTTTCTTCTTAAATTGATGGTTTTATTATGATAGTGCCTAATAAGACACTGAAGATCCAACCAGGAATGTGCAACTGCACGTATGGACCTTGCATATTAGAATACTTATATATACCTTAATATTAATCATTCCCACTTAAATTTACGCACCCGTTTCAGTAGTATTTAATAAAACGCTGGGGAACGCATGTAATCTTATAATCTATATACATTTGTACTTATATTCTAACGCAATCTGTGAAAACGAAGAAATACGAGGAAATATTTTCTTCTTGGTGTCTTCATCAATCCCACGATGTTTTTCTAAAACATACACTCATATACAATCAATATAACCGATATAAAACGAGGAAATATGACAAGATATTTTCTTCTTGGTGTCTTCATCAATCCCACGATGTTTCCCTGAAACATAAATAGAATTGTATGAAATATTTCTCTAAAAACGATCAAGATGGAATCCGTATACTATTACTAATTCCATTCTTCAATGATTGTATATCCTGTAACAAGAACTTGTTCAAAGAATTAATAGCTGAAACGAAAGTGTATTAATGGGCACAGAAGAAAATAATTATATACCGTCAAGATAACATATATTATTCAATTATGAAATTAATATTTTAACTAAAGCTTCCACGAATAAAAATTGGTATTAAAAAGTTTAAAAACATAAATATCGCGTGAAATTGAATGAAAAGTTAAATTCGTGTCAGTGTTAAGATAAATATGAAATAGATTGAAAATTTTATTCATTCGTTACCGTAGATTTTATTTTTCATTTCGTTGATCAAATAAAAAATTTTTCAAGAGGTATAGATTGCAATAATTATATTTTATTGTATTGAAAATTAAATTAGGTTCGTACAGAAAAATCAATAACGAACGAAAATGTCGATTCTACGCGGAAATTAACTATCAATATGAAATATCGAATTGCAATTTGCATATCCTTTTGATGTAAGCATTCTATTTTCCAACAATTAAAACAATGATCGCGAACAAACTTTGATTAATGCAAAGAATACAGAATATTTATAAAAAAATTCATTATTTATAAATAATAATTGAGTTGCAAACGTTATTATATCCCGTAAAAATTATCAACTCTAATACTGAATAATTAGTGATATAGTAGATATGTATATTAGAATCATGAATTTAATCTATGACACTAATTAATCATAATATAACATTTTTAAATGCATCACAAATCTGTGATAAAACTATATTCATAAAAATTGACCAGTACTTTCAAGCAGTATTTCCATTGACAAATATATAAAGAAAAGAATATATTTCACATAGTTAGGGTAAATTTTCCACTCATAAATTCAAAAAACAACCCGTGAGTGGATTTCTCTCGCAACTCTAATTTATAAAATAAAAAAGTATACGCGAGTGGTGCTTATTGTTCGAAAAATGAACCACGCGGGGTTACTTTATTAATGATATCGCGTGCACCAATGTTAAATAATACGCAACGCTAATTTAGATAACGACGTTGAGCCTTCTGAGGCTTTGTAGAATAGCAGCTTCTTCGTGATGATCCTGAAACAGTGGCCAGCGTCAAATTTTGGGCATTTAATCGCAACTCTAATAAAAAACGCGATAAATCAAGATCGCAACGCTAGTTTATAATAGAAAAATTCCAAACGCGATTTATAACAATAAAAGCAACCGCGAATGGTGATTATTCGCAACACTACCCTGAAAAGCAAACGCGAAAAATAGTAATTCGCAACGCTAAGAGCAAACCGATCAGTTCATTCGCAATGCTATTCTTAAGTAACAATAAAAGCAATCGCGTATGGAATTCGCAACGCTACCCTGAAAAGGAAACGCGAAAAATAGGAATTCGCAACTCTAGAAGCAAACGCGATTATTGTATATTCGTAACTCTATCTTTAATGGAAATATATTTATGATTCGCAACGCTAATTCAAATCGCGTTTTGCCCAAAAATGCTGGCGTCTTCAGTTGTAGCTACAAACATACATGCACGAAATAAACTAACTACTTCAAGCTACTTCAAACTACAATAGAATGGCACGTATGGGGATGAAGTTAGACGTTTTAAATATCGCAACACTACGGGGAAACAACGCGAGAAATCAACAATCGCAACGCTAATTTATAATAGAAAAATTACAAACGCGATTTATAACAATAAAAGCAATCGCGAATAGTAATTATTCGCAACGCTACTCTGAAAAGCAAACGCGAAAAATAGTGATTCGCAACTCTAATAGCAATCGCGTTTACTAATAATTCGCGACGCTATACTTAAAGCAAACACCCGGTTCGTAGGTTTGCAGAAAAGAATCGCGAATCGAGTTTAGTCGCAACACTGACATATCAACGCGATAAATATTTGTTCGCAACTCTACGAGCAAACGCGAACATTGTATATTATTCGCAACTCTAACTTTAATCAGGGGCTATTGGTACATGTACATACACATATACTGGCCACAAAATAATCTAACTACTACTAGTACTACAGTTAGGGTAGAATTTGGGCATTGAAAGTATCGCAACGCTAATTTATAACATGAAAATTGCAAACGCGGTTGATGTCCATTATATGTATAAAAGAGTAAAAAAAGCAACGCGAATCGTGATTATTCGCGACACTACCCTGAAAAGCAAACGCGAAAAATAGTATTTCGCAACTCTACGAGCAATCGCGTTTATCAATAATTCGCAACGCTATTTTTAAGCAAACATTCAGTACCTAAGTTTGCACAGAAACAAACGCGAATCGTGTCTAGTCGCAACACTACTCTGAAAAGGCAACGCGAAAAATAACAATTCGCAACTCTATAAGCAAACGCGATTATTGGATATTCGCAACTCTAAGTATATCATAACCGCGAGTTGCCCTGATGGCTGGCATGTATGGTGCAATCATGTACCAGGTACATGCATACGTGAGCCAGCAAGAAAAATAAACTAACTACAACTACAGACGAGTTAAGTGACAAAGTAGTAACAGGAATGACTTTTCATTCTCATCCGAGGATGAAAATGAAAAGCCATTTGTTGTAGCCCACTCTTGAAACAGTTTGTCAGGGCCTCTTCAACTCATGGAGTCTTTTCTTTCTTCGGCGGTCCTGCCGATGCCTGAAACTTACTTAAGACCGGGCTCGAGATTTTGTGCAATACGTAGTCTTCCAACAATATACGAATTGTTGGTCGAGCATACGTGGTGAATCTCGAGGGGAACGAACGTTTCGAAAGGGACCTAATCACGACCGCGAGCGCGAGAGAGCGACTTTAAGAGTCGCGCGATTCGAGGAGTCGAAAATAAAGCCGAAACAAACAGCATACACCGTTTGAATCAGCAAGATTTCTACTCTCGAAATCGTAACTACAGGA